GTGAGATATATGAAACCGACTCAATGATTGCGCTGAAGGCATAATCAGCGCAACACAATGGGAGGCTGTGGCTCAGTGGGTAGTGCGCTGAACTTTGAATCAGGGGGTAGCAAGTTCGAGTCCCACTGCAGTCAGCATGTCGTTGTGTCCCTGGGCAAGACACTTCACCCCAAATTGCTCCTGTGGGGATTGCCCACAGTCAGAGATGGGTGTAACGCGTTACAAAGTAAGTCATCGCATCGTTCAGAGATATACTGCGCAAAATACATATAGCAGGAGACAGAGGACAGCCATGGTCAGATAGGAAAACATTCAGGAGCTATCTGGATCAGTCTTATGCGACAATGGAAACTGAACTAAAGAGAACATTTGAAACGTTAGCAGTCTGCGTGATCTGCCTGTAGGGAGGGGCGGGCCGGCCCTGCGAGTAAAGTAACGAGTAAAGTAACGAGTAAAGTAACGAGTAAAGTAACGAGTTACTTTATGTAGAGAGTAACAAAGTATCATAAGACTACACTGCAGACCAGGTGCAGTAGCCTTTACTTTGATGCTGATTTAGTTGGATTCATTTGTCATCTCTTTCCAATCTTCCAACTCTGTTCACTGATTAAACTGAGCGCACCCATATAGTTTTCACAGATTGCATTAAAACTTCTCTATCAAGTTGTCAGTTCTTCCATAACCTCATTAACAAGTTGTGCAGACCTCAAATTACATTTCAAATGGCCATGAAAATATAGTGCCTCATCACTGTGACAGCAAATAACCAGGCTTACATTTTTTTCAGAAATAAAGTAGAAGTAAAACCATTCATTTGCATTTATTTGGACCGCATGGGGCTGGAACCATTAAACTAAATGTTATAGGCTTTTTTGTTAATGGGCTTCCCGCAGAGCAGAACCTGCTACCTTCAGAGGCGGGGCGCACAACAGCTGTCACGCTGCCTACAAATCCAATTTCAACAGAGTGTTATGGAGATAAAAGTAATCTTAACAAGATATGCAGCCTACCTGAGGGAAGTCAAGCTTTGCACACACATTTCAATTCATGAAATCAATGCTGGCAGCACAATGGAGCTGCATGCATTCATCCTGTTTTACTACGGAGAAAATATCACACCACATCTGCTAACACAAGTAAGATGATTCTGATATACTGACATTCTATATACAGATTTACATTGTTCTCTGTTTAAACCCAATCAAAGACAATTTATAATCCATAAGGAACTGATTATATTTTTTTAAATACCTGATCTGCTCTTCAGCCCTTAAGCAATCCAATGATTGCCAACCAGGGCTACTTGTATCCGGAGGATGTTCCTGCAATTGCATTTGTATGAAGAAAGATTGAAGTAGCTCAATCAATTTGATCCTATAGAACGAAAGATGAACTTGTTATTGAAAATAATTTAATTTATCGAGTCCACTAAAACACTTGAACAATGCTTTTTGTGACTAAGAGTTCTCGAGAACTAGTAGGAACAGTACAGAGATAGATAACAAAAATGGATAAATAATTGAAATAGTTAATAGTAATAAAAAATGTGATTTAATAGTTAGCCTAAAGAATGGATAAATAGTTAAATTACGTAAATAAGGTGGATAAAATAATGTGCGAAAGGAATGGATGCAACTTGTCCAACTCCAAGTGGTAGTACTATGAGCACAACAACTCAACATACCTAAATGTTGACAGTTCAATTGAATAAAGAGGAATACTGTACCATCCGATAATATTTCAACTCCTACCTATTTGGAACATTAAAGTCTTTATGGCGATGATGAATGGGTATACATATAAGGTAATCTGACAGGTCTGATGCAGGACGTCTGACATATAGAAAAGGATGGTGACCACTGATTTAAACCATGATAACTGAATGACAAGACTGTTTTAATGAATATGAACCATCTATAGTTGGTTGGTTTTGCAATTAACATATCAATTAGTGCAACAGACCCACTATTAGGGGACTGCATGAGGATATGGAAATTAAATAATGATATGTTCTTGTATAAGTCTGGATATTTAAGACCCCTAACAATATGAGAAAAACTTTACCCAGAAATTAAATGTCAAAACACTTAAGTGCAATAAAGTCAAAGTTTGAGACACTTACAGAGTTGGCATTCCTCGTATTAAAGAATAATAGCATGCCATAGAGAGTTACATCATGATATTGAAGCTCTTTTTCTTTAGTGTTCATACTAGCTGACATGCTGGTTTTTATTTTTGGTATTTTTTTGTTGCTTTTTTCTCCGTTTTTGTGCTTTCTGCTGATCTTTCTCCCTGCAACCTTATTGATTCAGTCTAGCGTTCCTAACACCTCTCCGGACCTATCTTCCCTTGTGCGCCTTGATCTCGCACCCTCGTATCAGCCGAGCTACAAAGACAGAATCAAACCAACAGGAGCACAATGGAACTTATCAATCCCCACTGTACAGCAAAGAGAATGAACATCAGGCCATTGTGTGCGTATCTTTACCATTCATCCGAGTGATCCTCAGATATGGATTAAACCAAATACATGATCGGCATTCACAAAGGCAGCTCTTAGAGAAAATGGACTTGGTTTAATCCCTGTCTGCAAGACTGGCCCAAGGCAAGGTAAGAACGGATGGTTGCTCCTGTTTGGGTCATGATGGATGAATTGTCATTAGCTCACATGAACAACACATATGTACAAATTGGGGACAAGACATTGAACCCCAAATTGCTCCCAATGGGCGCCTTGAGCATTGATGTATGACTGTGTGAATGGGTGAAGGAGAGGCAAATTGTCAAGTGGCTCGTCCGATTAGGTGGAAAGGCATTTCATAAAGTGAAGTCCATTTAATCTTCTTTTGCAGGAACACATATCGAGCAAAGTCATCTCCACCAATATGCCACAAAAACAGCTCTATCACAGTGACAGAAAGACAGAACAATGAATGCATGTATTTCCAGTAGTCTCATATTCAGTAATGAGACAAAGCAAAACAGGAAATCCCTTGATATACTTGAATTACATGCGAAGGTCAACGGTACTAAGGTGAAAGATGGTTTATAAACATGGATACTGTGGGGAATAATATTAAAGCAAGATGCATCTGTCTTGTGTAATGCGGGTGCGATCCATTTCTTACACTGAACAATAAATCAAAACACAACATAGGTATCTAATGTTTGACTCCCGTAAACAGCTTGCATCAACTATGATACCAGCTCAACTCAGTATACAAATAAAAAGTTGTACATTCCATTTATCTATTTCATGTTTGCACTTAGTAGCTACAAGTAGCGAGAACAGCTGTCGCTCGTTTTTTTTTATAGTTTTTTATAATGTTTAAAACATATGTTCACATACAACCATTGATTACGCTTGGTTGCAAGATGATTTCATTTTTGCAAATGTTGTTGTTCTTAATTCTCTCAGCAGGATCAACTTAAATGAGTCTTAAAGTCAAAGAACATGAGTAAAGCTAGAAGAGAACAATTTAAAGAGGACGTATGCTCATTTTCAGGTTCATATTAGTATGTTGTGTCTCTACTGTGACATGTCTCCATGCTTTAATGTTCAACAAGCTCTTTATTGTTCTCATACTGCCTGTGCTGTAGCACCTCTTTTCACCCTCTGTCTGAAACCAGAGCCCAGTCTGCTCTGATTGGTTAGCTGGCTGACTGTGTTGTGATTGGTCAACCGCTTAGACATGTGTCAGAAATGGGCGCTAGCCAATTGAAGCGCGAGTGTTACATAGTGATGTCACAAGATTACGGAAGTAAACAAAGGAGTCCAATGAAGGCGTTTTAGGCATGGAACTTTGGGATTCAAGCCTTTGCAGACCATTTACTGTACATGCACACACACCTGTATAACACACTACAGGAAAGGGAAAACTCCAAAAAGATTAAAAGGACCTCTTCAACAACTTAACAATGTAACTTCAAAACGGTTTGATATTGGTGAATGATGTGGATTTTGTTTGATTTCATTGCCTTTGTGGTGTTTTTTGGCTAGTAGACAGAAAAATAGGGTGTTTCATATCATCAATGGAAAGAGAGTCTTGTGTTCAGTGTGTTCTGAATATGAAAACAATCAATTAAATTATTGTTAATGATTGCAAAGCATTTGGATTTAAAGATTCCAAGCTCTACAATTGCGAACATATAACTCAAATATATTTCAAAGTTGTCTTCTTTGTACGGCTTTATACATTTCAAACGTAAAACTTTTATTTTTCCAATGATGAGTGGGCAGTCCTCCACCCCCTCTACAGCAAAAAGTATTTCCAAAGTAAAACAACAGCCAGCAGATCTTTTTGCAGATGTGTATGTCTGGATTACTTGATGCCAAAAGCTCTGAACTTATTTTAGAAGTCATATCAACAAGAGTTTAACACGGAGCACTACAATCCAAAGTTGGACTGAGAATGATGTCTGTAGTACATATGAGAATTCAAGATTCAAAATTCATGATAACTTTGGAAGTGTTTAAGAAGAGCTCAGAAGATAGCAAAAGCAAATCAAATCAAATCAAATCAGGTTTTATTTATATAGCACATTTAAAAGCGATTTTTGGTCGAGCCAAAGTGCTGTACATGTAATAAAAACACATTACTACAATGACAATAAACGACAATAAATTACAACAGATATATCTAAAAAACAAAATAAAAATAAAAAACACACGGAAAAGTCAGGAGTCGTACTCCGCTCTAACTAGAAAGCCAGAGAGAAGGAGTGTGTTTTTAGTTTAGATTTAAAAACCCCTAGGGTCTGGGCCGACCTCACATGGAGGGGCAGAGTGTTCCAGAGCCTAGGGCCAGCTGCTGCGAAGGCTCGGTGCCCTCGGGTTTTAAGCCTGGTCTTGGGCACTACCAGCAGCAGCTGGTCAGCAGACCTTAAAGCTCTGGCTGGGGTGTAGCGCTGGAGGAGTTCAGCTATATAGGCCGGAGCCAGCCCATTTAGTGCTTTAAACACTCACAGCAAGGACGCTCAATGGTAGTTGAATTGCTTACCTGATTGGAGTATCGCATGCTGACGTTGCGCTGGTCTTGGCGGGGAACGTAGCGGTGGATTGGATCAATATCTTTAGGGCTGATCAGCTCATCCACTGGAATTTGAGAATACACCCCCCAGTACACACACACACACACGTCAAACTTCGTCCTTGGATTCATGTCAGTGAGGAATTAAGATATATTTACTCTCATTAGATAATACAAATCCAATTGATTGATTTTTGACAATTTCGATTTTTTAGCATAATAAATCTCATGAAATTTGACCTCATAGGCATTCCACTTTTGTATTATTGATGAGGCTAAAGACTGATATTGAATGAACAGAATGAATGTGTGGGTGAAAAGCATCCACACAGAGGCATACCCAGCAGCATGGCGATGTTGTACAGGGCTTGACCACACAGGAAGATCGTCCCATCACGACCGGAGTTGCTAGGGAAACGCTTCTGGCTCCCATGCATGCTCTGTTCCGCCTCCACAAAGTCAGCCGGAACGTAGTAGTATTTTGGGATCACAGCATGACCTGGAAGAGAGAGTGATGGGGGCGGTGAGCACTGTGTGTGTGTGTGTGTGTGTGTGTGTGTGTGTGTGTGTGTGTGTGTGTGTGTGTGTGTGTGTGTGTGTGTGTGTGTGTGTGTGTGTGTGTGTGTGTGTGTGTGTGTGTGTGTGTGTGTGTGTGTGTGTGTGTGTGTGTGTGTGTGTGTGTGTGTGTGTGTGTGTGTGTGTGTGTGTGTGTGTGTGTGTGTGTGTGTGTGTGTGTGTGTGTGTGTGTGTGTGTGTAGTTTCCAGTGGTCAAAAGTAACTAAGTACATTTACTCAAGTACTTTCCTTAAGTACTGTACATTTGTTAATACAATATTTAAATCGACAAATTAATCATGATGTATTATTATGGATAAAGATCCTTGACAGTATAATATTTCATTAACGTTAGCTCCGCCTTTACCAGCTGCAAAATTAAAATAATGTTAACATAATGGATAACTAATTATAATTCTGTGATAAAGTATGTATCATTTAGAAATTGCCATTATGCATAAAAAGTTACTTTGGTAGTTGGTACATTCAATATATTTGATGCTCGTACTTTTACGTAAGTCCGATTTTGAATGACATACTTTTACTTTAATAAATGACTATTTCTACACTGTTTTTACTACTTTTACTTATGTAAAATGTCTTATTATTTCTTCCATCTCTGGTTATTTCTAATCCTTTTTTTTACATAAAGGGAACATCCTTATGTTGTAATAGTTGAACTGTTATATTGATACAGCTGATCTTAGAAAAATACAAATATTATCTCTCAAATGTTTAATAAAACTCAAGTGTGCTATTAAAAGCAAAGCGGGTATTTCATTTTTACCTACCTTATATTTAAAAAATAAAAAATACACAAGGAAAGGAACAGTAGATATTCTATCTACCATGGCAGGGATGTAATGGGCCCAAGCTGCTGAACAACTGCAGTGGAACTAGTGTGGTGGAAGTACTGTAGTTCCTGATTGCTAAGAGGCCGAAATGTGTGCCAATTCAGTATAGATTTAGAGTTACATGTATTCAAGTCAGTAGGAGCAGCATGGTAGTTTGAGATCCCAGGTTGTATAGGAAGAAGCTTTCGCCTACAGTACATTGGAGAGACACAGGTTAACATTCTGGATAACACAACTGAAGGCTGGTGAGGTGTTACTTCTAGGGTTTGGTATATTAGCACTATCTTTTTCTACCTTTTGTCAAGAAAATAATGCTTTAAATTGTTACTATTGCAGAATACACGCTAAATGCCTTGTAATTCAGCTAGTTTACAAAGAACTAAAAAATAAAAATGCTAACCTCAGTAAAACATTATTTAAGGGGACCAAGTTCTCAAAGTCCTTAACTATTTATCTGGCACCTACAAAATACAAATTGGCTGATGGGAATATTTAACCCTTACCCTAACTTGTAGCAATCATGGCAAAACAGACTGTCGGTGCCCTGTTCACGCTGCTAGCATAGCAAAACAATACAAGAACTATGCTAGCTTCAGAAAAACAATTCTTCAGTGAATCCAGTGTCACAGACTCTTAAGCCATTTAATTGGTGCTTACCACAAAATACAAAGCGGCTGATGGAAATGTCTAAACCAAAACCTAAAACTTGGAAGAGCGTAGAATATACACTGCGTCATTACGCTGCTAGCATTGCAATGAATTAAAAAACTGTGCTAGCCTCAGGGAAAAGAGAATCTTTAGTGTATCCATAGCCACAGAGTCTTAAGCCATATATTAACACTTTACACAAAATGTTAGAATTTTGGGAATGGAAATGTCATTTGTTTTGCAGGCATTTGTTCATAGACTAAAGTATTGGAGCCATTAAAAGTCAGGGTTGATGGTGGCCTTAGAAGAAAAGTGTAGTCATACCAAAGTCGGCTAGACATTTTAACTCACTACAAAGAGAAATACTGTACTCATCTATGCATGAGTCTATGTATCAGCAAAACAATAAGAGACCGTGACATCTGGGAGGTCGGACACACCTGCAGCAGAACACACAATAGCTGCTTCTGAGCATTCTGCATTCTGCATTCTGATACATCTGTGGGTTAAGACTTTTCATGGGCATAAATGGTGAAAACGAAAAAAACATTTTAAATGTATTAAACTCCAACCAATTAACTACAAGAGTTGTGTTAATCCATACATGACTGGTACAAAGACATTGTGGGGATGTCTGGAGCTCTGTCTCACATCATTATCCTTTCTACACTCCAATTATCCCCGTTCTATTATGAACAGACCAATAGGAACGCACAGCTCTTGACATCCCTATCATTTGACTGCCTTTGTGCACTGTCCATGTACTGGTTACTATGTGCATGTGTCTGTATTCATGTGATTGCTTACCTTCAAAAGACTGGAAGATGATGGGTGCAAGGAGTTCCTGGTACTCTTTGACTTGAGCTTGATTTCCTCGGAACACCCCTGCAACATGAATACACATTAGCAACAAGTACACACTTATTAATGATACTAATTCTAGAGTTGGATTGAACTTTGTGTGACACATGACGACAACAGTTGCCTATTTCCTCTATGAACTAGCACTTTATATTAATTAAAACTATTGGTGTTATATCAGTATTGATTTTTTGAAGCTTTGAAGAGGTAATTCAACCTAATTTAAAATAATTATTACATATGTCTGCCTTTCCTCCTATTTAATGGAAACATATGCCATTGGCTTGCGGTGCTTAGAGCACCAATAGAGTTAATTGAAGAAAGCTCAACAATAATGTCTGGTTCCCAGAAATCTTGACCAGAATATACCTCGTTGTGAGCACTTTCATTAAGGAACTTTTTTCTTTCTAAACCATTTAATTGGCTTAACACAAAATACAAAGTTGCTGATGGGAAGGTATAACCCTAACCCTAACGTTTGGCCCTCAGCACAGAATAGACTGCCTTGGGGGCACTTAAATGAAGGAACTGTTTGCATTCTACCAAACTACACCTGCAAGCGTATCACCAGGCAGGATAGGTCTTACATCTTCACACTTGTTGTTTGGTGTTACTCAGTGGAATAAATAGTTCCTTCACCAAAAGGAACTACAAACAACAGGAAAACAATTGCATTATTGATATAAATGGTCCCTTTAAAAGCCCTATTCTGTCCTTAAAGTTAAACCTATAATATCAGACTAGACAGCCTCTTTATTCTGACCTTTTAGATCAAGAGAATACCCAACCAGCTTTTTAGTTAATTGCATTGGTCATGTCATTTCAAAAGATATGATAATGTTTAAATGTCAGACACATTCAGGGCCATATCATTTCTGATTGCTTTTAGCATTTTTAACCTTTAACCTTCTTGTTATGACATCACTGTACTTTAAGTTTTAAGTTTAAGATTAGATATAGAGTTTTGCTTTTTCAAGCGCCGTTTGTCTTGTTTTTGGATCAGTTTGAAACTCATTTTGTGATTTATGAGTTGTTAAAAGGTGGTTCCATTAGGTTGAACAGTTTCATTTGTTTGAGATGGGACAACCGGCCTTAAATCAGATTGTTTGTTTGTCCTACAAAGGTTAGTGGAGTAGAAACCGACATGATGGTGATTTAATAATGCTTGGCGGAAACTAAACTCCTTACCTCAACTGACTGTTCCCCCACACACATTTCAAACATCACATATCTCTTAAAGTGTTTCTTAGTCCTCTAAAACCTTTCAAACACCAAAATGCAATCTCCTATCAAATGCTTCCAGACCGTCTTCTATCTTCTCAATGACCCACTGGAGGCATCGAGACGGCAGCTTTGGGTAGAACAAGGCTTACCGTCAATCATCATGTGGATGAAAAATATGGGAAACTCGCACTCGATCCCATCAAAGAGCTGTAGAGAGACAGAGAGAAGGGGAATTATTGCTTTTCCATTTCAGAAAGAGGAGAGAGGCACAGGGACTTTAAAGTAACGGATGGCTGAACTTTATGACACTGAATATGGAAGAGAATGGCACGGGGAAAGATGTAAAGAAGACATGACATTGTGAAGGAAAATGTACAGAATACAAAGGGAACAACACAATCCTTATTTGAAAGGTCATTTTTCTGCAATGCAAACATGTGCGGCTTGTTTTGAGGACATTTGAAGGTCTGAGACGTGGAAAGTTTTATACATTGACAAATACATGAAGTATACTGAGAGAAAAATTGGATCATTGTAGTATTTGATGTCCATATGACGTCAGGCTTACATACTTGGTTAGATATAAAAGGCTGGAAGATACAATCATGTGCCTTGGAGATTAAATGGTTGAAATTGGAATAGATGCACTGAACTTTGAGACAACCACTGTCAACCAGTGACGAACCGTCAGGGCCTTCAAGGTATTCAGAGAATACCCTGGAACAAGATAAAAAGATAAAACAAACAAAAAATTGATTTAATTATATAAATAAAATGTAATAAAATGTAATAAAATTTAATAAAATTTAATAAAATGCAACCAATCAGATATTTTTCTGGGTCTCTGGGTAGAATATCCTTCAACCAAGGTATTATATCCTTGATAGAATGCCCTGGCCGTTGCACTGAATGAGAGCGTACGTTTGGATTGACAGTTTGATCAACCAATCATATATTGATTTGTAGCCAATGGGCGTATTCTTTCAGAGTTTCCCTCGGTTCCAGGGTCCTCTAGAAGGCCCGGTAGTTCACTGGCTCGAGACAGAGGATCTCTAGATGAATGCGACAAAGCAATTCATGCCGTTTTATTTTTTCTTAACTTTGAAATGGCAAGTGCAACAGGTGAAGATGATGTTGTTGCGGAATTGTTATGAGTACCCTTTTCAAGACGACAATTCAGTGAAAAGACGGACATTATAACGGCTCTTTTTTGAGCATTACGAATTAAGTATATTTCAGTAAAGTGCTGGTGACGTCACTTTAGCAAATAGAGGGAAAAGACGTTTTTTTTGTCCATGTCTTTCAGATCTAAACAAAGACCAAAACATCAATTTGTTTGAGCAGATCGGCAAAGCTAGACTGTGTCACAAAAGTAGGCATACCGTGCAAGATGTCATTTTCATAGAAACATTTAAAGGTCCCATGACATGCTTTTCGGGTTATTAACCGCCCCCTTGTGTGTTATGTAGCTTTTTATGCATGTAAACAGTCTGCAAAGTCCATGGTCCGCCGACCCCACGCAGCAACCAGGAAACCACACCAGTAACCCAGCTCACACTGTCCGCTCCTCGCAGCAGCGAGCCCCGCAACCAGGGCTCTCGACTAACTTTTTTCACCATCCTCCCGGAACCGTCCCGAAATACAATCTAAGCCGTCCCGAAATTAATGTGGACCGTCCCGAATTTAAAATATTTGTTTTTCTACATTATCATTAGTTAAAATCATTCAAAGTGACCTTTAACATAAATAAAACATCATACAAATCATTAGATGATAATTCATCAACCTTTTTATTTGAGTCAATTAGTCAAACACATAAACAAAGGCCAAATATATTTAAAAAAAACACACAAGCGAGAAAGTTGCTCTAATATTGAATCCAATCAAGTCCCATCCGATTAACAACAAAATCCAACACTCTGTCCTGAAGACAGAACCCAGAGTATCCACTAACCAGGATGACAGTCTGTAACACAGTCAGGAGACCTTTACAAACTGCCCCGCCCCCTCGCACACAGGAGAGAGCTCTCTCGTCTGGATTGGAAAGATCGAAAATAAGATCGAAAATACATCATAGACGCATTTTGTAGTCTTATTGCATATTAGAAACGGAGTTGGCGAAACTAAAACTGCAATATAATGTTCATGTAGCAATAATACATATGACATATATGTTTTAAATGTCTCTACCACTGTCTTTAATAATTCCGGCCCGGGGCCCGTTTAATACCGGGGCTCGGTACCCATCCCTACATGGGGAGAGGCGCAGCATATTGCTAAGGACTACATGCGATGGAGAGTTCTCATGTCAGCTGCAATGACATGTCTGGAAACCCCCTCTCGGGTGCCCCATGAATAGCGCGCCGTCAAAAGCTGCTTCATAAGTTAAGTTTCGTTTCTCCGCACCGCTCCGGGGTAAAAAAATGGTAGTTACATCACAGCTGTACGGCTGGCTGACAGCTGTAGCTATACGTACTGTGTGTGTGTGTATTTCGCGGGTTGCTAAATGCTTTGTGTGTGTTTATGTTGACAAGGAGGTTTAATAACTGTGTGCTACACAAAACGTGCAGTCAGTTTCATTTTCATCGCCGTTCGTAGTAGAGTTAGCAGGGTATTTTTATTTTAACTCTCGTCCCAAATTCGTCCCAAAATTAATTTGTATCCTCCCCGACCCGATTTTTTTCGGCCCCGGGACGACGGGAGGTCCTTAAGCTCGAGCCCTGCCCGCAACGTCCCGCCAACACGGCACCCAGACCCCACGCAGCATTCTCATCTGTTTGTCATTACTGGTGTAATTTTCTGGTTGCTAACGCCATTGTAACACATAATCACTGATGTTCCGCTGTAACGGTGGTAGACTCATCAGAACAGAGTGGGCGAGCTGACCAATCAGAGCACAGTGGGCTCACAGGGAGAGGGGAGGGCAGGAGCTCCAACAAGCCGTTTAGGACAGAGAGTGAATACACATACTTTACAGAGATGCTGTATGAGAAACCAATGTGAGTTTGGGAAATTGCACAATATAAATATATTCTAGTAGACCTCAACAATGGAATTATGATCAGTAGAAATGGCCATGACATGGGACCTTTAAAGAAGCGAGTATTAATGATGAAGCGTTCAGAGTAAAAAACAACACAGGGCTTAACCATGCAGGGAGTCAGTTCCAGGGCCCTGCTTGCTCCTGGCTAATGTCCAGTTGAAGGAAAGTAAGATGGATGAAGTATAGGAAAGAAAGATGGATGGAGTAAGAGTCAGGCTCATTAAGCAACGGTAAATCAGAGACTCTTGGGCCTACAGAATATAGCTACAGTAGCAAACTAGATCAAGCTAATGTACGTGACGGGCAGCTTGCAGGACTCTGTGAGACGAAAGGAAATGGACAGTGTTCACATCAGTGGTGATTTGTGTTCAAACTTCAAAGTGTTTCTATAATGTCCAACTTTTAATTTTAGGATGCCGGAAGTCTGAAATGCCAGAATAATTCCCTTTTATTTTTGTTGCCACTGTTCCTCCTGATGCAAATGTAATAATAAAAAATACACTAGAGGAAACCTACAGTAATTCCAACCCTGTGTTGCAGAAAGACAAAAAGTGGTCCTTGAATCCTTGAAATGGCAAAAGTGTTTTTATTCCTTGTTCTGAACTAAATTATCTGGGCCACAGATATTCTTATAAAACATACATTTCCCTTTTTTTTCATCAATGGGCGTTCAATTGGGTTGGTGACTGTAGGCTTATGATTTACATGTTCAAACTGTTTATTGGCCCTTGTATGGAAGAAGTGCATTTGTTATGTTTATCCACGTATTCATTAAATGAAACCTCCCCCGCATATACACTTTACATGATTGACAGATCGATATGTGTGAATAACGGATGATGTACCAGGGACTGTGAGTGTTTTCAGACGACAGAATGTAGAGAATTCAAAGCCAGCATGTGGCAGCAGCTGGAGTGAATTTTCCGGAACAAACACTTGAACTGACATAAACACCATTATCTGTGGGATTATTCTCTGAATCTTACTCAGCCATAAATCCTATTATAGATCACACATCATGTTTGCGTTGAGTGCCACACTAACACAAACCTTCATTTGGTTACAAGTCACACGCAGAGAAGACAGTCGAGTGAATCACAGCCTTATTAATCCCAATAATTCAATCCCAGCTTGTTTATGCTCCCCTAAAGAGGATCAGACTAAAGCGGCTCTATAAAGGGCTCACACACATTTTCATGGACAACATCACAACTTTTCAATTACTTTTCAAGGACAAACAAATGCTACTTTCCCCTAAATGTAAAAAATAAATATTGTATGAGGGTCAGTCCATTCATTATTGCTATATATTTTGTAATTGCCTTACAAGCAGTCAGTCTGGCGCTGGATTTCAAGCATGAGGGGACATGATGCTGATTGTACTATCAGAGTATTCTAAATGCATTTTATATAAATTAATTTCTTGATGTCTGAAAACTATGCAGCAGCTTTAATATGTAGTCTACTGTGCATACTACCTCATCTTTTATGGCTCGCTTGTGATCCATACATTGGTCATTAGTGAGCCATAAAATATTAAATGTACACTTGCCTGCCATTATTAAATCCAAATCAGATTCAAACATAATTTTTGTTAGCTGGCAATCTTACAGCGGGAGTCGTGACGTGGGAGAAAATAAAGAAACCTTTGTGATAATAGACAAATGTTGTCACACATTGAATATATAATAGCTAGAGTATGTTACAGATAGTGCTTTTGCTTATGTTAACCATGGAAGATCTGAGCTGCTTTTTTTTCTACTCAGCCTCCCATCCGCTCTCTACTCTCTGATTGATGATAACGAGGTTGTTGGCTAAAACTAGCTCTTATCGACCAAACAAAATGGCTCCCAGAGTGTGTGTGTGTTCATGCTTATTTGTGTGTTGTTATTCCTAGCTCTAGTTTTCTGTCTCCGACTATCAATCTGTGCATGCCGGTATCAGAGCTTTTACGCTAGAAGGTTGTGTGTGTGTGTGTGTGTGTGTGTGTGTGTGTGTGTGTGTGTGTGTGTGTGTGTGTGTGTGTGTGTGTGTGTGTGTGTGTGTGTGTGTGTGTGTGTGTGTGTGTGTGTGTGTGTGTGTGTGTGTGTGTGTGTGTGTGTGTGTGTGTGTGTGTGTGTGTGTGTGTGTGCGTGTGCGTGTGCAAGCGATGTTACAGCCACAGAAAATATATTTGCTGTTGTTTTCAATTGTGTGAAAGGTTAACATGGAAGAATTCTTAAAATTTCCTCACAATATGTTCAAGATTTTTCTGAAACCTCATAATTGTTTTAGTAGTTTCATGACCTGAAACATGCGCTTTTCTTAATTCCAATATTTTTCCAGTCTTTAAGATGACTTTGGGAACCCACTCTATATTAACAGAAGAACTATTTCACAGTCACCAAGTAGTAAAAACACCAAACAAATCGGGTCAGCTTAATAAAGAAAAAATAGAGACTGTGTGTGTGTGTGTGTGTGCGTGTGTGCGTGTGTCCGTGCATTTAAGCCCATTTGACTATAAATGCCACTATTCGTGGTTCTTTGCCCCTCATCTTTTCCAACGATTATCCCTCTGGTGGAAGATAAAACAGATGACATCCTAATGCAATGACAAATGGCCGATAAAGCTGGCACACAGAAATATATGTGGGAGCTGCATTCACTTTCAGCACGCAGATAGGGGTGTTTTAAGGCTCAAAATGTGCTTCTTTAAATATTTAATGTATGCACCCTGTGATTATGCAGGTATACTTGGCTTCAAACTGTGCATTTCAGCAGAGATGAGAAGCAATTAGGAGCTATCAGCGGCTGAGAGAGGGATGAAAAGGAGGCGCATCAAGAGATACAGAAACAGGGGAGGGTTTTTCTAGAAGGAGGGAGGCAGTCACCCAGTGAGGCCTGTGCTGTTTGGCCCGTTGAGGCTGTAAACAGGCAGGGATCCCTGGAGTGTTGCGTCTGAGCAGCTCGACTGATTGGTAAAACTGTCTATCACACAGGCTGTTGCTCTCTGTCAATGGTAAACAGACAAGGAGCACAGACGTCTGCCCTGCTGTGAATTCTCTTCTAAACACAAACAACAACTTCACTTCATGTCTTCCGCAGGGAGACCTGGTCTACCTGCGACTGGTTCCTTCCCAGACAGAGTCACTCAGAATTTCATTACGAAGTGTTTAAGATCATTACTCAGAGGAACATTTTACTTTTTTGTGATATACAGTGTTGGTGAAGTTGGTACACCATACTAAATGTGATATTCAAATACGTTCCAAGCCACATATAAGGACCCAACACTGCATAGACACACGGATAAAAGTGAATTATGTCACACTAGATGGCGCTGGTGTCACTTTCAATTACCTATGTTGAATTTTCTCTATTTGAATACACTTTCAAGATGTTTTCCCTCTCAAATTCATAAACATTTAATCATTGTAAGGATCCATACTGTTTGAAGTCTTTAAGAATGAAAAGTTCTTCAGTTCTAACATTTAAAAAATAAGCAATGTGTTTCAATATTCATTAGTGGAAAATGCTAATCTTGTGCTTTATTTACTGCAATGTTTTATGGTACCAACTGGCCCAGTTTCCTCTTAACTGGATTCTTATTACTTTCTGTATTTTATGTGGCAACCAATATATTACTGTTGCTAGATGGATGGCAAATGGTAGCAGCAGGGATCAGGACTTTAAGTTATGAAACCTAACCGGCATCGTCTTTCGCAATAAATCTGCCTGCCTCCGGGTAGAACTGACGGCAGGATGGAGCCTGAAGGAGCAGAGGTGTTTAATACTGCCTGCTAATTCTTAGCCTTAAAGTCTTTGTATCGTATTAGCTGCAGGATTAAAGGAAGCTAATTTAAAAGTATTCTAAGTGGTTAAGAGTGGGTGTCCCGCGGATGCCCCCTGAGACACTTCTAGCATTATTTGCTTTGTCTATGCCTTTTTTGTTCTGGTTTCAGCACCATGGATAGCCACCAAATGCTTTGTAAAAGGGTTCTTTTTTCCAACATTTTTTCAGAAACATAACAACCTTCAGAGCCTTGCATGGCAATCAGTCAAATCCTGATGAAGTACATTCAGAATATATCATCACATGCCACAAGGCGCCAAACCAATGCTGCACGTTACTTGATGTGTATAGCTATGTAAGCTTTATAAAAAAACTGAAAGATAACAATGTCCTTGTCACAGACATGTTAGCAAAAGAGTTGACTATTTACATTTGAAGACAATTTAAGCAACATTAGATGTTTCCGGCCACTTATGGCATAAACCCAAAACCGAAAATCACTCTCCTTTTAGTCAAGTTATGCATAATATGTAACATAAATGACTATGTAGCCTACGTAAATTAAGTATGTTATGTGAGTTAAAATAAGTCCATGTTGGCCCATTGGTTTCACGCAGTACATGAGCATTGTCTTCTTGGACTAAAGTCCTGTACATTTTTCAGACTTTTTGTTTGGTTTTAACAAAAGTACATGGATGCAATAGGCTCCTTGCACAGGCAACCTTCATGGACATCTTTGAGATAGACGCATCTGTAGTACAATAATCCAAACCCTAGTGTCACTTGGCCTCAACCTCATGTGACATCAAGGTGCGAAGGACCCTCCACTCAGCAGAAGCGATCAGACCTCTTATGTGCCTCTCAGAGCTCATTCATTCTGGGAGGTTAGTTCTGCAGCTAATGCATTGATTTATTTATCATTAAGAGTACTCCCTCTGATTTACCAACTGTAGTCACACTGAGCAAGTGTCATTCGCAGACATATATACTAAATGCATGAGCACACTCACTGACAGGATGGCTCTCACGCACGAACGCATTAAGATTGGAGGTGAAATACCTTGAGCCTCAAGCGCTTGAAATGGGAGAGGCTAAGTCACAGACATATATTTGAGCTTTATCAAACAAGGATAATACCTTTGCAGGCTTAAACATTTCAAATTTCAGGCTCAAGCACTTTCAAGTTGACCTTTTTGTAAGTCTTATGCCTTTTGCTCTGCATTGAAGTGGTTTCCTGAAATAACCCTTGGGTACATTTTTAAACGATATACTATTCTTTCTACTTTAAATCTCAATGAGATGCTATGGTAGCAGTAGGCAAGCAATGTTTATCTGTGAGTAGACCTCAATATCTCAAACAGCTGTCTGAAAGATTGTCAGGTAGCAAGTCATTCTCTGTATTAGAAGGAGAGACTGCTTTTTTCCTTCTCTAGTGGCGTTCCCCAGGGATATATCCTGGATCCTCTACTCTTTTGTATCCATACACTCATTTTGAGGCATATTGTCCACAGATGTATTATTTATTTTAACTGCTCTGCAAATGAAACTCAGCTGTACGTCTTGCTGGAAGAATTAAGCATTTTATCTTTGTCTGTCTTATATGATACAATTATGCATATTTCACAATGGCTTTCTATTTAAAACAAGATAACAATTTGGAGGAGTTCACTCGCAATGTAGAAAATAACCAATACAATTTAGATTAACACAGATTAATAAAAACAGAAGAAAAAGATATACATGTATATTCTTTTAGATGTGTCCCACAGCACGAACCTTCATTTCAGCAGGTTTGTAGAAACGGCGTTCCTTGTCTTCGTTAGCGGTGCGGTAGCCATCCCGGAGGAAACGTTTGAAGCCGTACTTGCCGCGCAGCTTGCGGACGATCTTGTCCAGTGTCTGGCTGTAGAGGGCGTCATCATCTACTGCAAAGGCAGGATAGCTGATGGTTGGAAGCAAGGCTGCGTCTGTGTTCTACCGGGGAAAACACAATAGTCACTTAAACAGGTTATCACCAAAACCGTCAATGTTGGTAAGTCGGTCTGTGTCTTGAGCGTTTTGCAGCATTGACTTCCATAGATACCCTGACACCTTTGTTCCTCAATATAGTGATTTCACAATATAGTGATAACCTTAATGCTTTAACGTGGCGGCCATATTTTAACCACATCCCCCTTTGCATTGCGCCCAATTTATTGACGCCTCACAAACACACATCACGTTCACTAACTTAGTCAACACTGAAACCTCAGTTTCTGAAAACCTAAATCTGGTAGATGATGAAACAAAACAAGCACATTTATCTAGGAGACAAAAAATGCCAAAACACACAGAATAGTTCCTTTTGAAATATACCCGCGTACAGGTGGACTTGGCCTTAAGTTATATTCCTAGGGTTATTAGTATCCATTAACTGATTGATGAATTAGAATTAAACCCTAAGGTAAAACATGGGTGAAAACTATTGGTTGATAATTACCTTTAGCACAAATCTGTGTGTTCTAAAGTGCCACAGACGAAGGTGTAGATGCCTTTGAAAACTACTTTTTCAGTGTTGTATCATATCAAATTTAGAAAATCTACACGACTGAAAACATTTGAAGTCATCATCTTGAAAACTGCAATGGATTGGTTTTCTTTATTTTTTCTGATATATTGTAGACTTAACAATTAATCCTTTAATCTAGAAAGACCAGTTTTATAGGTAGTTTACATATTTTGCAGTTGCAATCCTAGTATAAACTGGAACAATCACAAAGAATGAATATCAATAAGAATGGAATATTTAGACTTTGCATTTAATCTAATATTTCATTTTATGTTTGGTTTAATCCATTAATCAGTGAAAATGAAAGCTATTAGGCCCCAGCCGCACTGAAAACAGCTATGAATATTAAAGTTTTCCAATAGACGGCAGAGCTTCCTAAAGTTAAATACTTGCTTTCCATATTCTGCTTGGACTGTCTTCAAATTGAATAACTGCAGACATGATAACTTAAGCTATGAAAAAGTTTGTCTGACAACTAAAGGACTAGATTTTGTTAGTCGATTATTAAATGCAGATGTTGTGTTTTCTATTGCAACCTTTTTTACTTTCCACACAACTGCTCCGTTTCTTCCAATCAGTTCTTATTCTTCGACTTCTTCCCTCCAGCCTACAACTCCAATTTGCATGCTGACTTCCTCTGCAGCTGCGGCTGAAATAAGATATCAGCCGGCAGAACACATTCAGTACAGATATTGAATGTGTCTTGAATTGTGTATTGAATTCCAATCTTTAGCTGCAGTGTAAGAGATACTGATATTTTATTGATAATTTGCTTGGCTTGACATTATCCCTGTTGGTCTCTCGCTCCTGACTGCACGCCATCCCTCTGGTCCCTTAATGCTAATCTCGCACAACTATTATGCCACTCTCGCCGTTTAATTACACTAATTTTCTTCTAAAGCTGACTCTGGCTATTCTGCCTGACACACTATAAACCGAGAGAGAGATGTGATCATTTAAGTGTCTGCAAGCGTTGGAGTGGAGAAAAGGGAATGGTTTTGCTACTGCTTTCTCCTCTACCTACCACTTATTTCACTCCTTTTACCCTCCCTCTAGCTCTGCAGCAACCTGTCTCTTTCCACATCTCCTGTCAAGGCTACAACACATGTATAGGCAGTGTAGTGTCGGCACCTTGGGGGAAATTTTGATTTGGAATATTGACGTGAATGGGTAGTTTGTTCGATGTGTATAATTAACCTTTTCTGATATATGCATATGCGTGTCAGGCATCTATTTCTGTCTTTGATTCGTGGATTCTTTGTACACAGCTGCTTCACGGAGACTCAAAAAAGGTAAGTGAAGAAGCAGGGTGCATCAACGTATGCAAATCTGGACATCTAAAGATAAAGTCACTAGTTCTGATTACAAATTAGAATTTACATCCAATCAAACTTTATTTAAATTGCACTTTTCGTACAGAAAATATTATAGAATAAGAATAAAATAAAATAAGTCCAGTTTAATAATGGCCAAATGAAAAAGGTCCGTCTTGAGCTGGCTCTTCAAAGTATAAACAAGAATTTTGTATTTCCTCCAGTTATGATTAAAAGGCCATTACCATAAGACCTGAGGGTTCTAGAGGGTTCCTAAGTGAAAAGCAAATCTTATAAATAGCTAGGACAACGACCATTAAGACCATAAACATCCTTTTGATGTTATCTTGTGCTTTATCTGCATGTTTTTCAGTTGTTTGTATAGGGGTTTCAGTGGTTGCATAAGAAAGATGGATGGACTCACATGCGAGCGGGACTCTCGGGGCAGGAGGGAACACAGTGTCTGCCTGTTCCTGTTGTGGGCGTCCAGATCCACAAATATCACCGACCACGAACAGCCCTGCAAAACACATCAGCAGAAAGCTTGAACTATTCCCCTGTTACAGGTGCACAACAAAAGCACACAATATTATGTTAGGTACAGTACTGTATGTAAGCACACACACAAATGAACCTCGAAAAAGTCCTATAACTTTAAAATATTTGACAGCTGTATTGGCTAAAGCCCCCTCCATCACACCTCCGCACCTTAAAAACACACTCTTTTGCTGTATGGATATTTTTGGGTTGAACATGTTTTTCAAGTACAGTGTAGGAGTGCTTGTAAAACAGCGAATCGAGAGTCATGTTATCGCTTCAAAATGTACAAAAAACGAAGTGCTGCTACTACAATGGGGTCTGTCCGCAGTGCACTTTAACAGCTCTGAGAGAGCGGAGGCACCAGGTTTTGCTTTTACTTACTAAAGGAAGTGATCAAGCTTCTAAAAAGCTGGTCCAGTCCACTTCATCCATCCATCAGCAGCGCTTGCATAAAACCAACTCAGTCACTCCTGCTACCTGCTAAGTAGTTTCCAATGTAAGTCAAATGCATTATGTATGATTAGTGCCAGAGTCCACTTTTTCCCTACAAAAAACACACATCCAGCCAAGGCTTTTAGTCAAATCAGCAAGCTTTCACGCCGCAATTTGCATAGTGCAGTGGATTGCCGGCCGTCAATGTGCTGTACTGCAGGCAGCTGTGTGACACGTCAGGGAAATGGCTCTCTGGGAGAATATGCCGGTGTTATAGCAGCAGTGTATGAAAAGACATTCACCTTGGATGTTTCCTTCAGTAAGCTGACATGTTCTTTACCATAACGTACAAACATCTATGTGTATGTAAAATACGTCAGTAGTTTTAACTCGAAAAGAAAATAGAAGCATGCTTTTTGCATATAAAAGAAAAACCCGAGACACAAAGGTTTATAAAATATGAGCCTATACCCTATGGTTATAATCAAAACGTGAAGGAAAAACAATGTATAATGAATAAAAAACAGATGTAAATTGAATTGAAAGGAGTTGATCGTCCAGAAAATATCCATTAATATAAAACCCTGTTTCAATCAGTATAACCGTGCTTTAATAACTACTGCAACAAATGTTTCTATTTTTATAAAATGTTTTGCATTTTTTCATTTGATTGAAAATTCAGTTTTGTTAAAAAAACAAAAATATCTTTAATTTATCATTAATATAGCATTAATACAAATCTTATTGATTTGATTTGGAATGCTTAGCAAAAAACATTGGTCTTTTAAGATTTGCAATGATTTTGTTAAGTAAGCTTTTTAAATAGAGTAACGTCTGAAATGATTCTGTAGACAGCACTGCATTCTCGGTATTACTTTGAATGCGTTACAAATTACAAATTACAAAAACCAAATGTGCTCTAGAAATGGTTAAATAATATAATTGAATGCCAAAAATGGTCACGGAGAGATTTGAAAATGATGACTAACATCCTTTATAAATTATGCCCAAACAACTGCCAATATAAAAAAAAAAAAATTATATTTTGAAGAATGCATTTTTCTTTTTTTGTCCCTTTTGCCACCTCAATTACCCTTTCCAACTACTCTGAGCAGGTAGCGCCGTCCCTCTGTAATGAAAGTGCGGCTGTATAATACGAGTTAATTACGGGCCACCATAATCTATGCCATAAAGCCCTCAATGTCACTGCCATTATTATGGGTTGCTAATAAATGTTGACAGGATGTAGATTATATAATACCTCTTTCAAAGACCATAATCAGCTTGACATCGCTTTCTGTGCATTGATGTGCACAAATTAAAATTGATAGATTTATGTTAGCATAGGGAAGACTGTTCGGAACTCACAGGAAAAAAAGGATTGAGTGTGTCCGCTCCAGTACATCCCTCTGGATGCTCTACACTGGGTGTGAATTAGATGACAACCGGAGACAGAAAGTGGAACCTGTGAGGGTTTGTCTGGCTGTTTGTTCACAGCTCTGTGAATCGAATCGCTGGCTTTGAAAGGGAAAGACTTCCACTTATCGGGATACATTTATCCACGTTTTTTACGGAAGAGCTGCGATCCTAACAAAACATCATTTTTAGGTTTCCCAACCACATTGTCTCTGACCCCAACCGAGTCCTGAACAGGGGATATGAAATGTTACCATCAACTCGGAGATACAGGGTCCAACGGTTAAGTAAAGTTAGGCTGAAGAAATCACTTTCCTGTAGTGTGTTATATAGCTTTGTGTGCATGTAAATGGTCTACAAAGGCTACAATCCCAAAGTTCTTCTCTCCCACACACTCTACCCCTTGCCTGGAAAGCCTCTATTGGACTCCTTTGTTTACTTTCCTTACATAGTGAAATCACATGTAAACATGTCACCGTAGAGACACAAAATACAAATATGGACCTGAAATGTAAAGGGTCTTGAAAATATTGTCTTCAGTGATTGGAATCGTATTTTAAATGTCTGTTTCCTTGTATCTTGTCTTAATATTTTTCCTTGTCAATGTTTCAAAGGAACTGCTTTGATGGGTAAGGGTAAGGGATCATGAAGAATTAAACTTCACCAAACTGAGTGCAGTCCGTCCATTCATGCAGCACAAAGGCTAAATTGGACACACACCCACAAGAGTCCGCAGCCGGGGTGTTAAATGCGATAACAGAGTTTTTAACGTGTTGTATGTTCCGGTTAAAGGGGTTGTGGGAGTTACACTTGTGAGGATGAGAGTCAGCTGGGAAATCAAGATTGATAGAGATCATTAACAGGCGACGGGCTGGCTTGTAGCACTTCCATTCCCACAGGAGGACAGGAGACTGGCCCCACACAGCATGGGTCATAAAGCAGCTACCTCTATAAATTGATTCTTTCAACAAGCAGAGCTTGATGACAAAATCCATTTGCAGGCACAGTTAAACCCTCATTTTGCAGTGGATCAGGAGAGAAACACAAACAGAGACTTTATTATACACTCTACTGACAGCCCTTTATGTTGATCAGATAAATACTCAAATGCAGTGTAAGGCCAGAGAGGCTGGATAAAAGAAAAGATCATAGGAAAGCAGGATTGCTACAGTATGTGCACTGCTTCATTTTCCAATCCATTAGCAGACGTAATGGATGTCCCTGTTTTTTCTTTCTACCACACAAGCAGGAAAACAAGATATCTACTTGTGGACATTCTGAGGGAGATTCGGAGAAAGACCGGGGACAAACATGAACTGTGGCCATTGATCAAAGTCTGCTGAGCCCAACACAAACATTCTAAATGAATCTCCGGATGGTCAAGCAGCCACTTGAGGAAATAGCCTAGCATTGATGACAACAGCACTAATTATGCTGATGATGTGTACTTGGTAAATCAGCAGTGGGTTCTTTATGAATTCAGCTGCTGACTCAGGTTGCAAGCATCAATCATATCCATCTGATGGATGGAGCTATACTGGGCCTCTGTGGATTAGAATCAGAAAACGGATGTACATCTATAATGTGATCTTCTGCCATGTGACACGATGAGACAGACTCAAGTACATGCATCTCTTGGGACTTGTATGAGGAGTTTGTGAATTATTCAAATACCTGGTTTCCGAACAGGTTGAACCCATTGATGGCCTCCAGAGCAGCTTTAGCCAGGCCCACAGAGCTGTGAAGAAAAATAAACATTAAGGATTACATTAGACATTTTTCAAATAACCACCAATTTTTCTACATTTGTACAAAGTATATTACATCACGTTTCAATTAGCTTACGCTTTATCGTCAATTTCATGCATTTAACCATTAGGATACTTTTGCAGTTCCGGCAAGTACAGTGAAGTTACAGTAGCTTCAAATAAGCAAAACTACTTTAAGTGCTACATTTACCTTTAGATCTTAATGGCCAAAAACTATGCATGACGAGTGAAAAATATGGGATTTTAGAGCAGGTTTCATATTTATTTTTTTAAGATAAAAAAATTCCTTTTCACTCCAACTGTGATCTCATCCACTCTAACTCTAAGCCTTCCAAAACACATTAATACAAATATTAAGAAAGGGAAGACATTTCACTGATATCGATACACTGATGCAAATGTAAAAATATATATGTTGATGTCATCATGGTGAGTCCTTGCAAAGACGTGAATGACGCAAATTAAGTCAGGCAAAATATGAAATGCAGAGACTCTCCTTACATTGCTGAATCAGAAATGTAAGAAAACATTATTGAAGCCGTCTGTTGGCACCTGCAAATAATCTTATACTGTATGCTGCTGAGTTCATATCATTTTGAAATTACAAAGTATGTAGATATCTATAGTTATCTATGTGTATTGACAATAACCTTCTTCTTCTTACTTAGAAGACGTAATTTTGAGAGTTGATTGAGCAGCTACAAAGTTAGCATAGCCCTGATCGATCCAAAATTATTCAGGAAACAAACATTTTAACCTCTTAAGCCCTGAGCCTGTTTTTCAGGTCTCAGGCTCGAAAATGACATTCCCAGAACAAATGACCATATCTTCCCTTCTAAAAGGGTTAAATTAATAATCTTTATTCTCAAAGTAATGATAAACCTGTGAGTTGGATGTAGAAAAGTCAGAATCAATATAGATGTGTTTTATTTTAAAGAAAATTCAGATTTTACATAGTAAAAAACTGTAAATTATAGTGTCCGTTCTTTTTTACTTATAGTGAAAACTACCCTTGGATGATGGGTTAGTAGACTAAAAGCTTTAGGAATCCAAAGTACAACATATAATAAGTACCCTGTACCTTTTTAGAGAGATTTAGCCAAAAAAACCCCACTTCTGGGGTCATTTGGGTGGATTTGACCTATCTCTGGCCCCCCTTGCTCGATTTTGATGAATGAAATCTCTTTATAACCGCTAGAGCCAATGGAATCGAGGGAAAGTTATATACACACCAAAACGTTAACAAATAAGGAGTGAGAGTGACGCGTTACCAAAACCGGAAGCTGCATACACTCTGGTGGCTACCATTAGCAGCTAACTTTTCCGCTCCGATTTTTACATAAAAAATGAAATTATGGATTATAAATAATTTTTTCAAAGGCACAGGTACATTATCAACCTATGGATCAACAGTTGTAGCATTTATCTTTTTCGTTTTAATGCCATTGAACACGTCTTTTGACCTAATTGACAGCTACGGTGAGACGATCTGCCGTAAAAGCTCCGTAAAGGTACGTGTTGTGATGTCTGTGTTTGCTTCCCCTGTCGCAAGTTCGGATCGCTCAGTGATGATACTATACCTAAATAATCAGTGGAGTCTCAGCTTTAATAGGCTATATTGTATGTGCAGCTACGATAAGTAATAAGGGTATCTTTATCTTGAATTGTGTGCCGCAGTGCATTATAATGTTTTCGCTCAGGGGTCATTTAGACGCTTCTTATGAGACTTGTGTTTTGTTTTGGTAAAAATGGTTCATATCTTCAGTTAGCTGACATTCTTCCCGTTAATCTGGTGCTACACATTAATAGTTTCATAAATGTTAAGAAGCCCTGAGACATTATCTCGAAGAAAAAAAACGGTGGGAGGGGTCCAATGGGGGGACCGCCGTGCTTAAGAGGTTAAATGTGGTGTATGCTTCAGACCAGGGGTCACCAACCTTTTTTAGGATGAGAGCTACTTTCAAAAAATAAAAACAAGTCGGGGGCTACTTTTACTCCTCTTTTTCTTTTTTTTTTGCAGTGTATATATTTAGCACATTTTAACATTATTATATGCTGACCTTTAATCTTTGTGTGCTGTTTGGGTCTGTGGGACCCGTTTTCAGTGTTTACTAAAAGAACATGTATGCAATTAAATTATTTTAACCTGCTTTATTTGGGGGTGGACTTGGGGGTGGACCTCACATCCTCTAGGGGGGTCCGGGGCCATGCTCCCCCGGGAAGATTTTTGTTTTAATGTTGAAATGAAATGCATCAATCTGGAGCACTTTGAGCACAACATGAATGTATGGATACAGCTCTCAACACTCAGATGAAAGGGAGCTGTATACTTTTCAATAATCCAAACATCTTTAGAATATGATCACAACCAATAACAAATCATTTAAACTTGTTTATTCTTCTCTTATGTTACCTATAGCATTATTTCTTTTTATTTATGCTTATTTTGCTAATCACTCCCCTTTTAAACTGTTTTTTTTTTTTTTTTACTGTCCTATACACATTGGAATGATTTCTTGCTTTATTAAATAGATAAAGGTGTGCTCTCCCTAGCTCTCTCGCTCGCTCGCTCGCTCTCTCTCCCTCTCTCCCTCCCTCCCTCCCTCCCTAGCTCTCGCTCGCTCTCTCTCTCTCTGTCTCACAGAGGCTGTGCTCCTCCGTGGCGATGACGGCTTGCGTTAAAAAATAATAATAAACATATTTGTAAAGTGGGGGGACACAAACAGGATTTCGAAAAGTGGGGGGACACAAACAGGATTTCGAAAAGTGGGGGGACATGTCCCCAGTGGAAATTACGCCATGCGTGTGTGTGCGTCAAGTGCAATAAATATATATGCAAGTTGCAACACACACACAGAGTAAAACTCTGCCCCTCATGTGCTGTATAGCCTGGCACGACTAGGCTGTTCAATGGGGCTGATGTGTTGTGTAGATTCTGCCAGAAGGAAAATCACGGTCACACTCCTTATGAAGCGGTGAGCTGCCGCTCCACATTGCTTTTCTTCCCGACTGCAACGCTGGTCCCGCAAATCAAGCAAGAACATGATTGGTCGATATTCATTGTGGGGGTGGGGGGGGTGTTAGATAGATATAGAGTTGTAGTAAGTAGATAGAGTTCGCTATGGTTGAGGTTTCGTTTATGCATAGGGTAGATTCTTTTAATTACATTTATTTTTTTGTTTTGTGTATTTTTTACATTTTGGATTTGCTTGGTGAGCTATTTTTAGAACATGCCCCGCGGGCGACTAAGTGCCCGCGGGCACCGTGTTAGCTACCCCTGCTTCAGACGGATTCAAAAATGCACGCGTTTATTTATTTTTTACCAATTGGCCATATGGTGTTTTTATTCTAGAATATTATTGATGATTGTATTGCAATTAAATCACAGCAATATCAATTGGTTTCATTTCGCTGTAGTAAAGATTGATTCAGCCATAGGAAAAAACACAAATAATCCCGCTGTCAAACTCGTGCGGATAACACGTGGCAGAACTTTGCTCGTGTTTGGGGTGAACAAAGCATGTGAGGGACAACAATTGTGGTTCTTAGATGGAAACCATAAGTGTCTTTCAATTGTCAGAAGCCCCTCCCCCCCATTTAGAATCACACTGAAATCACAAGCGTTTCTGTCAGGATTCAGTGGAGCTGAAAGGTCCTAAGATTGTGGTCTACTGTAGATAATGGATCTCTTTTATAAAAACCTTGTAGTGAATTTCACACTTGCTGGCTACTATGATTGCAATGCAGACTAAATGTAAATCCATTTCTCTGTCATTTTGTTTCCCTTTCTTCCTCGCCAAGATTTCCCTAGAAAATACAAAGAGGCGGAAAAATTGAAGGGAACTTGGCGGTAGCTGTGCTGACATATCAAAACGCATTTAATGCCATTAGTGAAAGCTGAATTGATGCTTAAAATAAGTTGGATGGCTGTTGCAGAGTGTAGGAGAGCTCTGCACGAGTAGTTATGTGGAAAATATTACACCAAAAAACGGCCAGTACTGGTCTGCATGGGTGTCAACTTCTCACACAGAGATAGAAGAGATGTAATGATTGCTGGGGAAACAGGAAAAGGTGGTATCAGGAAACAGCATTGTGATGCAACTGTTTCAGTTGACAGTTGGAGGTAAAGAATCGGATGATGAAAATGTAGCTGTAGACTGGGAGTCTATGAGCTCACAATGTAGAGTTACCAACAATACTCCTAACTCCTACAGTAAATGTGCTTGCATGCAGTGGCTCATATGGCAATTGAGGCCATACTGGGTAAATAACTTCAAATGCTTCCATTTGTGTCCAATTTCCCATCGATAGCTGTTTGATCCATTGTTATTATTAAAATAACGACGAGAGTAGATTTACAGTCTTAGAACTAGATTCTGACACAGGTCCTTTCAAGACATTTCTCATGGATTAATCCTTGAAACTGTGCTGTGGATATCGAAACTCCAATATGCCAACCAATGAAGGGCAACTGTGGCTGTGAGATACTGCGGTCCTCTTTCGATTGGAAGGTTGTAAGTTTGAAAACATGTCGATGTATCCTTGAGCAAGACACTTAACCCCTTATCTCTCCCGATGGCACGGTCAACGGTGTGTGAGTGTGTGTTAATGTTAGCTTCCCTGGGCAGGTGGCACATTGCTCTGTATGAATGGGTGAAGGATGACTTGTAACATTTAAAAACGCTTTGAGCGGTCCTAAAGATGGATAAATTGCTATATAAATACAGTTCATTTACCATTTACTGTTTACCAAAATGTCATAATTTCCATTACTTTATCCTATTAGACATTTGTGGAAAGCATCATAATTAGCATATGAATGATCACCTTCGGTCATTGCTATTTTTAGTGTGGAGGCCAAAAAACAACTGAACCAATTAACCTGTAACTTTGTGTAGGATAGTACAGTCCGAAAAGTTTTTGATTTTATGTGCATGCTAGATAATGATGACATGTTCATGGACTAATG